ATGGGGGAAATATTTGGCTCTCTGTGTTCACCAGCGAGTTGATATCTCTGTCTGTCTGTTGCGGGCTGGAAAACAAACACAATGAGCCAAAATATGCTAAAAGCTTTGAAGAGTTGAGGGGAAGTGCAGATAATTACGTCATGATTTCGGTGCCGTTAGAGCAATTGTCTGTGCCTCTGTGTGTTTGGCGGCAGGATTATGGGAAAACTTTGTTAAACTTGCAATATATGCACACGGCTCTCACCTTGGATGTCACTAGCAAACATGGCTGAGCTGAAAAGGCGGCAGCTTGCAATGAAGTGCAAAGATTGGCAACAGTGGTGATAGAGCAGGAAGTCTCAATGGGGGTTAGCTGACACTCACCAGGACGATGGACCAAGGATGGTGATGACGCTATCCCTACCCATGATGGTGGGGACAGCGTTATCAGCGGTAGCCGTTGTATGAGCACCACCGGCATTCTGCCATGGCGGATGTCTGTACTCTCCGACTGCCCTTCTAGTTCTCACTAGGTTTGGCACTGCAAGTGACTCCTTTCCCATGAGTGCAGTCATGTCGATTGTTGATATAAAAATATTGATTATAGTTGCTGTAAGAAGGTACAGTCTATGTTGACATTGCCAGTGTCCACAAAAATGTTTACAAGTACAATTTCAGTGACTGCAAAACAGCAAATTAACACACACGTCACACTCTTATCTACGAAAAAATCTATCTTACATCCAAACATAACAGAGGATTTCATAAACTAATCATTCTAAATTCAGAGACTACTGTTTATACGATCCTGCCCCTCCACAGCATACAGTGGCACAGCTCAGCACTGCAGAGCACAAAGAGGTACAAAGGGCCACGACGACAAAATTTCGCCTTTGAAGAAAGGATCCTGCACTTTTCACCTTCCAGGCTTTTCCCCTTTATCATCACAGCCCAGATTGGACATCTGGCAATCCTCCATGCATTACACTGCAGGAGGCGTCCAGAGGTTAGTGAGCTTTGTGTGCATGTAGGCTAAACATATGGCAGCATGCACAGCCCTCCAGGGTGGAATGGAGTATTTATTGAGGTGTAATGGGTGCAATAGGTGCACAGTTTGTTCAACATGTAGCTTGTAAGATTTCTGTGTTTGTGTTTGTTTGACAAAAAGCCTCTTGTCAGGTGAAGCAGCATGTTTTTTTGTTGTTTTTTTTGTAGCCCGACACACAACAGAGTCCGGAGAACAAATTATTGTTGATGTAATAGAAGCAGTCTCTGAACCATGACCCTGAACAAGCAAGATCAGGGCTGAAGCTAATGCATTAATGAGCTGCAAGAACAAAGAAAGAATACATCATCAGAGCTAAAATAGCCTGTGTAGGGAGAGCGAGATCAAGTTAAAACCCACGTGCTGAAGAGCTCTATCCTCTGTATTTTATATGTGACATTAAAATGCCACTCGTCCTACTTCTCTGACATACAGCACATGCATTTCGTGTTTATAACACTTAAGGTTTACTATACGAGCGCTCTGGAGGCTTATGTTGCTCCGCTGACCCTGTCCTGTTGGCTTTGACAGAGCCTTATAAATGCTGTGTGGCAGACAGGCATATCTCCAATAGTCCAGGGAGCGACGAGGGTGGTGGGGTGGGAAGTCAAAGAGAGAAGGGGTCTTAAGACTTAGCCATGTGACTCACAGGGGTATGAATAAGAGAATACAGATACATGTGCACACTCAAAGACAAACCCTTGGGTGTGCTCCAAGGCAGATCCCTCATCCACCACTTCCAGATGCTACAGTAGTCCACCCTCACAAATGACTCCTGCATAAATCTGTGCTTGCATCGTCCCGGAAATAATTAGACAGAAGAATGAGAGAGCAGGGAGGTGGTAAACTGCTTCGGGCTAACCTGGCGGGAGCCTTCATATGGCATCTGCTTTTGGATGCTACGTGCCTTGCTTAGGGAAATACGAGGATGAACAAACAAAGCCTCTTTAGGCATATTCCTCAAAGTCTGAGAGAAGCCCAGTGGGCTATAGTGTGATGTCTCCCAGGGGCTGGTGCAGGAGGCAAAGCGAATCATGGGTAGATACAGCTGATGAAGGTGAGCTGAAACATTTGTAAAGACCTAATTAAAAGTCACAGCAAGTCAAGTGAAGCCAATACAACTTTTTTTTCCCTCTCAATGCTTTTTAATGAGCTCGCTGTTTGTACTTTTTTAATCACTCTTCCGTCCTTGGTTTATGCAAAACCAAACTCGGCAGCTATGACTGTAATAGTATATGCTCTTACAGTATGTAAAGAAAGACACTTGGAGTCATTAAAACTCACTGAATTCTTTAACAGCTGGGACGAAGACTATTTTTTCTTCATGCTTACAGAAAGTCAGCCTTTAAGAGATGTAACATTTTCATCTGTCAGTAAGCAGTTATCGTTTGACTTAGAGGGTTGCGTCGGTATTTTTGGACCCTATTTCCCATGCTTTTGTGTCCAAGTGACTAAAGGAGACAACAATTTTTTAAATTAATGCCGGCAGCTGTGAAACAGGTGGCAATGTAATCCAAGGCAATAGCGAACTGTCATGCATGTCCTCTAAAAGTGATTGTTTTTGCCACTGACAGGCTCAGACAGAGAAATAAAATGTTTGTCTTTACCTTTCGCCTTATCTGATCTGTTTGCTATTGTGTCTTGCCAAGTCTCAAGATCAACTAAAAGTAAAGAAAAACATTTTATTTCTCCATAGGGATGCTTTCCATAACGTTGTCAGACACTTGTAATGCCAATCGGAGCCTGTCAGTGGCAAAAACAAGCACTTTTTAAGAGGATATGCATCACAGTGTGCTGTTGCTGTTATTATAAGTAGATATATATTTATAAGCAATGGACTCTAGTGTCGTCTGCTTTGTGTCGATATGAAGAGGCCAAGACTGCGGATATCGTTGGAGGTGATCTCCGTTTATTCCTGACAACTCTGACAGCAAGAGGTGAAAACGAAATCCTCTGTCAATTACGACCATATTACTCAAGCAGCTCTTCCATGGAGTACAACAGCAAAAGAGTAGAGGGAAGGCGAGGACACCCCTTTACAGGTGAGGTACCCCCAAAGATGAACGTAGGGGTACAGAAACTGGGTATCAGACGTTCCACATATTGACTATGGAGGTCTGAGCGTGTCACGTAATGACAACTGAAACAAATTTTGTGTTATTAGTACACTTTATCACACATATTACTGCTGTATAATTGACTCTGTTACATATAGTTTCAATTATCTACATTAAAAATGAACTGAAAAATACTGAAAATGTCATAAAAACTGACTTCATTCTCTTCTTCTTCTCTGTGCTCATCCTACTGTGTGTTCTGCATGTAAAGACTGAGTTTGTCCTGTTCTATCAGAGCGCAATGAACTCAATTTCGTTGGCATCGATCCAATTCAGCTTACAAGTAAAGAAAGTACAAGGAAAACAGCCCTTGGTGATAAGCTTTGGCTTATTATTTACAACAAGAATTCAATTCAATTCAATTTTATTTATAAAGCCCAATATCACAAATCACAATTTGCCTCACAGGGCTTTACAGCATACGACATCCCTCTGTCCTTAAGACCCTCACAGCGGATAAGGAAAAACTCCCCAAAAAAAACCCCTTTAACGGGGGAAAAAAAAAAAAACGGTAGAAACCTCAGGAAGAGCAACTGAGGAGGGATCCCTCTTCCAGGACGGACAGACGTGCAATAGATGTCGTACAGAACAGATCAGCATAATAAATTAACAGTAATCCATATGACACAATGAGACAGAGAGAGAGGGAGAATCATTTCAGAAAAGTGAGGAGGAGCAGAACATGGTGTGCTGCTGGGGTTTGGTGGAGCTGATGATTTGTTTGGACAGCCTTCAAGACTTTCTACTTTTATTGGATTCATTTAAGCGTTTGGCTGTTGGAGTGACCAAATATTTCTGGCGAGGTTTGGTTGTATCACCAAAAAATAAATGAATGAATTATGGTTAAAATATTCTTGACAGGTTGATTAAAATGTAGTAGTTGTAAATGCCACATACAGCACTGTAGCAAAGCTTAGGATACTTTTAAGTCATGATACGTTAATTACAAGCAATCATTGTTTTTTCCTCACAAAATAATTAAAGCTCTTCCCATTGCACAGGAAGTTTGAAACTCACTTCAAAGACCTAAAGTTTCCCTCTGGACAGCACCTTATCCGAAGTGCTGTTTGCTTTAATTATGTAACAGGAAGCAGCCATCATCTCCCAAAAATCAATGTTTCCTCACTTGCTGGAGGTGAAAGCAATTAACTTTTAGATGTTATGATCATGTTATGCTGACATGCAGATTATAGAGGCCACCTAAAGGCAACATATGGAGCAAGACTTCACGATTCGCTCCCTGAAATACGAAGCAATCAACTCATCAAGTAAAATACAACACTATGGATTTACCCTTGTCTCTCGCTCTTAATCTATACAAGGTGAGGAGTTTGGTTTAATGAGAACAACTTTTTCTCTCATGATGCGCTTGTTCAGCCATAATTGCCTCTCTGTGGTATCATCTTGCCCAGCGAATGAATATGAGAGTTAATTGAGGGCTGTGAAAACATTTGCCGCCTCATTATTCTCACGCCAATAAAAATCCAAATGACAGCTGAATCGACTGAGAGGAAGAAAAAAAAAAACACAACGCAGATTTACTTCAACTAAAACCAAACAGTCTTCAGCAGCCTTCACTTCTTCTGCTGCAGAGATTACGGTGACAAAAAGCTCCAGTTTACTAGAACACGCTGCACAACATGTATTCATATTCTCCAAACATACTGCACTGTTGAATGCACAGCAGTCCACCCAACCCTTTTGTGAAAGCGCTCAGACTATGCAACACATGGATAGAATGGCACCAACAGCTACTCACAACAGTCATTATTTTCATAAGTGTGGCAAAGCAACTACACACACTTATCTCAGAGCAGCAAATAAAGCCAGGCATGCACTTCTCCTCTTTTTCGCCTTACCGTTTATATGCTTTTCGCCTCATTTTCAGCAGATAAGATCACAATATTCATGTGCCTGTGCATCCCCTCAGAGCGGCATGCATTTAGAAAAAGCCTCCTCTAATTCTGACTGGAGACAGGCTGGTAGGCAGAGAGAGAGAGGGGGGGGGGGGGCTGAGCATTGAATGGAGCAGGAGGAGGTGTATGGGAAGAGGAGGGGTTACTGGAGTGATGGAGAGAAGGAGAAGGAGAGAGAGGTGTGGTGGTGGCGGTGGTGGTGTCACTGCCAGGAGCAGAGGTGGTAAAAGTGAAAGGGGCTCACCTCGTGTCATGCTGCATCTCTCCATCAGATTCCTGATAGGAAGAGAAGAAGAGAGGGTGAAATGATTAGATTTATTTATCAAGCAGATTTATCTGGCGCCGCCGCTGCCACTGCATGCTGTGGAGTGTCTCTTATCTGGTGTTTAACGAGCTCTCAGAGCGGCTACGTCTCAGCAAACAAATATATCCATTATTTCTCGCTCCCTCACATACACACATGTATCAGTATTGAGAGCATTAAGTGACGGCGGGAGGAGGGAGGGAGACAGAGCAAGAAATGACAGATTAACAGTGCAAAAGAAAAATGCTGTGTGCTGCAGAAATGAAAAGAAAGTGCCCAGGGGTGAGAGGCAGACTTACATGCTGTAAGAAAAACACAAGATGAATGATAGAAAATGGAAAGTTCCAGCAGGAAAAGCAAGAAGGCAAACAAACCCGAGTAATTGAATGTATTAAAGTCAGTTCAAAACAACAGTTTAACATTATACAGTTCTTGGCTTTCTTGCTGAGAGTTAGATGAGAGGATTGATATAATTCACATGTTTTAACTTTAAAGGTCCAGTGTGTAGGATTCTGGGGTGTCCACATACCATGTGCAAGGTTCCCTGGGTGTGTTGGTTGTTGATGTTCTGGGACACCATGTCAAGCTCTGCCTGTTACATGCATTGTCTTCTTTCAAGATAGACTTCTGTTTTCACAGGAAATTTAACGTTTACATTCAGTCTCTTTCAGAATACACGCACTACATCTACATACAACGCTACAACACCACTAACTGGCGTTAGGGTCAGGGTTAGGCAGGTCCATGCCATACTGCCATGTTATACAGTAGCCCAGAACGGACAAATCGAACACTGACTCTAGATAGGGCTATTCCCATTTTCCAGCCACAATATTTCTCCTTAATACTTAACACATAAGAGAATTCTCAGTGCTGTAACTTTACTCCAAGATTCCAGCAAATCCTATACACTGGACTTTCAAGCCCAGTTCAGACCAAAGATTCATGACGTGACAAGCTGAAACATGCAACTACTTGCAATGCACCGTTCTGCAACGTTCTAAAAGCCTACCGGTTCACACCAATGCAACTAGATGAGTTGGTGTATCATCTCTATACAACTCTCTATACTTTCGTTCTGATTTCCAGCTTTTCAGGCTTATTTTGTGGCTGAATATAATTTGTAGCTTCTTAAAATATCAATGAGGATAGTGATAGTGAGATACTGGCTACAGCTGCATTTGTAGTAGTGATGAAACGGTGAAAAACAGAAACAAAACGAGCATGAGATGGACTGTAGCCAATTGGCTGTAGAAACAGATGACGTGGTTTACGCTGGCCAGCTGAGTTGCACGTGACAACATCAGCCAGCTTGAGTCAAGCTCAGACCGGCCAGTTCACACCACTGCAACTTTTCTCTGTAATGATCTAAAACAATTTTGTCTTGTCACGAATCATTGAACTGGACTATAAGTACAAAGCTACATACCACCTGCACAGCAGCCTGTTAGCTTAGCATAGCCGAAACACTGGAAATAGTTGGCCTGGCTCTGTCAATAAATAGCAAAAAAAAACGGTCTACTGGCACCTCTAAACCTCACCAATAAACAGATGATATTCTTTTCTCAAAATTAAAAGGTGTGGTTTTACAAGACTTATGGGGGGCAAGCTAGCTGTTTTCGACACCCCAGGTATTACCCGGCTCATCCACATCACTGGGCCCGTAGAGCAAATGCTCTAGAGACTTTGCCAGCCAAGTGTCTAACTTCTGCCAGCCGAGCCGTCTACTTCTGGTTTAGCCCTTCACCATTCTCGGAACCCATCGGCTGCATTTGGCTTCTGACTTCCGGCAGACGGCGATACAGCCTCTGGGGGCAGACCCCCGATTTTTTGGCATTCCGGTTTGATTTGGGCGGAGGAGGCGAATTTCCGTTTCTGACTTCCGTTTATATATAAGTAAATATGCTGAACCATTGCAATGGATTCAGAGTTTGCAGTGACGCCAATTATGTTCCGCCTTGTTAGTTCACCGCACCGTTTAACCTGGCAACAACTGCAGCCGGTTCTTCCGCCCTTCTTCCGGAGGCAAGATCTCCGGGGTTTGCCTACAGACTCTACATTCACTGAATATAGAGTCTGTATATAGAGACTAGCCCTTCACTAACTTGAACAGGGATAAAATGATGTAATTGTGTAGCTCATGTAGACTTTTAATATGTTATCAGACCGAACTGATCAAATCCTGATAATGACATGATCTGTTATGACACTCAAAGAAAATATATCTCATAATTTACACACATCTCTTTTTCAGTGTAAGTCTATTGGAAAAGTATTTTTGCACCCAGTGGAATCACATGATGGACCCAAGAGAGTTGTAGTTACACGGCTTCACCACTATGTCAAATTGGCTTCAAAGTCCGGTGTGCTTCCTAGGGGCCTCACCGAAAAAACATCTATATAGGTCAACTGTACAACAGCTTATACTTAACTGCGTTTATTGAAAGTCGGCATCCTCTAGTGGCCATAGTAATTATTATGGGAGCAGAAGAGGAAGTGAGGTGACATAGTATAAAAAGTGACTAAGTCTGTGTAATGTTAAGATGAAAGAAGTTCCTGTAGGGTGGGCAGGAAGTGTGGTGGATAGGTTCAAACAAACATAGGACTTTCACCCAGGAGACCCAAAGTCAACTTTGATTAAATAACAATGTATCATAGTATGCTAGTATGTGTAGCATACTACAGCAGGAACATATGTGACATGACAGATGGGATGTGATGTTATAAAAGTACTTACTTAAAGCCAAATAATGATGTTTTTTCTAAACCTATTCACCTAGTTTTGTTGCCTAAACCTATACACAAAGTTTTACAATGTAATGGTAACCGTTTAACAACGCTAAGAAAGCTTTAAACACTGCAACTTTTTGGACGGTCATATGTGCTGTTTTGGATGTCAGTGGAATTGAATCTATTCTGTTGTTTAGGTTTGAGAGAGCATTGGGAATACAAATAATGTGTGAATCTCAAAATGTATATCCCCAAACTCATTTATATAAGACAAACAACATTTAAAATATCACACAAGATGGAGGTGACACCACCTCAGTTATGCTCCATCATGTTTTCATATGTGTATCCGCGTATAGAGATGAATGTGAGAACGGGTCCTTGTTTGCACACATTCATTTGTTACACATGAATTATGCATGACATGGATTTCACAAACGCATTTACATTTTCACTTGGGCTTAATTCTTTGGTGCAGAACCAATTACTCAATGCATTCCCTGGACCACAATCGACATGGCGGAGCATATATGTGCAGCCAAGGTGCCAAACAAAACAAAGAATACTTTGACATTTCCACTGTAACATTACAGAGATAACTCTCCCCAATTTATGTTCCTGGACTTTTAAGAGCACAGGAAGTCAGATAATGTTTGTCTGTGTCCTTAGTGCTGCAGCAGGTTAGTGTGTGTGTATGTGCAGGTGTTTGTGTGTGCCAAGTCACAAGCAGTTCCAGCCAGCCTCAGGATTTATAGTGGAGAATTCAGTGAGGTACAATGAATGTCACAGGTACGTAGCTTAAACATATGGGCTGAGAGAGTGCAGTGTGTGTTTGTGGGCACGTGTCTGCTGTGCTTCATGATGTTGTGTGGAGGTTATAAACAGTGCGCGTGATACAGCAGGATGACTCATACAGCTACTGAACGAGACAACACTCAGTAATCCCCTCTGTCCATCCCTCCATCCCAGCATCCCTCTGTGAGGGGAGGGCAAGTCTAGAGAGAGCTGGAGTGAGGGAGGAGGAGTGGATCGGCATTCCTGGAAGGCATGTGTGAATGATAATATGCTGCTACAGCTACTATGGATGTACATTCATTCAGTGAAAACTGAAAACATTTGTCTTTATTCTGCAGCTGCTTGATTGTAAAATCTGTGATAGAGAAGTGGTGACACTCATTAATGCTAATGGGTGTGATGTTATATTTTAAATTATGATCAGCTGACAAACACACACCATTACAGAGCAACTTATAAACAGATGAATCTTATTAATGTTGATCTTCAGTGGTCAAACTTTTCATCTTACTGTACTGATGTAGAGGTGTACTCCAGGCTGCATCAGTACACTGTGACATCACTGATAGGTGTGGTTACAGGTGCAACATCTCTGACCACACCCAACTGTTAAAGCCTTTGCATAATGAGTCCAAAATTCTTGCACATCTAAAAATAATATGACTTCACGCTGTGTTAATCCCGTTTGCAAACTGATACTGAAACTTTATGCCTGTCATTAAAATTTTTGGAACAGGTTTGATTTTCTGCATTTTTTGCATCCGTCAGAGCCTTTAGAGACGTTTGACCAAGAATCAATAAAGACAAGACAGAGGAACAGGGCGCACAGAATCATTTCATGACTCAGACAGCTACTTTCAACAGGTCAGATAGTAATATTCAGATGGACAATGATGACGAGGAGGAGGATGTGGACTACACACAGAATGTGGAGGACAGCTCCACCCCTTCATGCAGCTGCGGTGCCAAATGAAAGACAGGGAGGGATTGGTGACAGCCAGATAGGTAACCAGTGGAAGGAGGCAAAGGAGGACATGTGTCTTTTTTATTTTGTCACGTATCGCAAATTTGCACAATGAATAGAACAATAAAACGCATCGGAATCAGCATCCGAAAAAAAGAGACTCAGTGTGCAAAGGCCTTTACTCTGGGTGTACATTCAACTTTTCTACCACTGAGGACAGTAA